AATAATGGAAATTGTACTTATGTTTATTCTTGTAGGGCTTTTTTGAATCTCTATTTACCCTATTCATTGAGTTTTTTTTTTTTTTTTTTGGAACTTATGTTTGCCTAGAAGATGGCTGTCCTTCTCTGAGTTATAACATTAACCTATTCAATTATTATTATTATTATTATTATTTTGGTGGCTTTCTAGGAGATGGAGGGAAAGGAATAAAGTTCTTGGGAAACTTTTGCAACTATTTGGTGCTTGAGTAGTAATTGTCCATCTTTAGTATGTTTCTAGAAGATATGTCTCATTTTCTTTTCATTGATTCTTTTGCAACTAAAGAAAGGAATGAGGCTGAGGGGTTGCCATAAAGTGTCATTGAAGATAGGAACAATTGAAATACTTCATCTATAATCAATTCAACAAATTTTCACTGTAGTAGGCCTAATTAACTTGATAGAAATGCCTCTACATGCCCAAGAAGAATGATTAAGAATCTTAGATTGTGTTCTTGGCAAGGAAGTATCTCAGAATGCTTGCTGTTGAGCTGCAAGTTATTCGATCTTATGCTTAGAGTTTACTTTTTCTTGTTCAGTTTAGGTTGGAGAAAGGTAACACTATCTTTTCCTAAGCAACGAGGAATAACCTTCGGTTAAAAAGATCAAGTGCCAAGAAAAGACCTAATGTGATTGTGTCCCCATGGAATATCAGTTAATATAAATTGTAATAATATTTTGCTCAAAGCATGAGCCCTGACTCATTAAGATATTGACTCTACAGATTTCGACATCAGAAATGGCTGATGAGGGAACTAAAAAGAACACTAATGGGGATGGTTATGATCTCAAATCGCTCCTCACTCGCTCAAGAAGAGACTTTCTTGTTCGTAACGATGGAGAACAAGTAATTATATTTCCTCTATTTTTGCAATTTTTTTCTTTATCTTCTTCTTGAATTCTTGTTACTTTTCTTTTTCCTAGTTTTTCTGGAATCATATCTCCAGGTTCAGGTAGAGCCTTGCAATGATCATACATTGATTTTGGAAAATGCTATCTATCTTTCTCTTCTTGTCCTTCGCTATTTCTATCCATCAGGATGAATGAGTGCCATGTTGTGATTAATTTTCCTTGTTGACAAGAAATCAAGAAACGAACTAAGCCATTTGAATTTTCAGTAAATTAATTTTTGTCACTCAAACATGTATATGTCGGTTCCTACATGGAATGCGTTTGGCAGTGAAATACACCAAAACCTTAGTTTGGACATTCAAATACTGGCCCTTGGGTCTGGTGTCCTGCCCCAGGTTGGTAGGAACTGTGGTAGGGGGTAAGACAATTTATCCCAAAACTGCAAAATTTTCATCACGGAGACATCCATCCGACTGTTTGTAATAGCATTGTTCTTTACAATACTAACTCTTAGGATGACATTATTTCACTTTATTCTTTAGTCCCATTTTCAATAGGAAGATACCAGCAGATTTAATAATAATAATAATAATGATCCAGGAGTACCAATACTTATCCAACTTCTACAGGTTAAAATTGACAAATTGAAGGGAAAGAAGATTGGGTTATACTTTTCAAGATCAACTTGTGCCTCTTGTCAGCATTTCACCCCTGAGCTAGTAGAGGTGTACAATAAACTCTCCTCCAAAAATGATTTCGAAATCATTCTTGTCTCGGCTGATGATGATGCTAAGTTTTTCGAGGAGTATTTCGTCAAGATGCCGTGGCTTGCTATCCCATTTTCTGATTTAGAGGTACGTGAAAAATTGAATGAATTGTTCAAGGTTGAGGGAATTCCCCACCTCGTGATCCTGGATGAGAAGGGAGAGGTTTTGAGTGAAGTGGGAGCCGAGTTGATAATGAAATATGGAGAAGAAGTGTACCCCTTCACTCCAGAAAAGGTCAGAGAATTAAAAGAACAGGAAGAAGCAGCTAAGAAGAAACAAACTTTGAGATCTATCTTGGTCACACCTTTCCGCGATTTTGTACTTTCAAATGATGGAAATAAGGTAAGATTGGTGGCACATTGGAATATCCAAATGTAGTTAGTTCCTTATAGTATGTTTTCACGGTGCCTAATTTTGTCCTTAACAATGCGTTTGCAAGGTACCTGTCTCTGAGCTTGAAGGGAAGCCGGTGGCTTTGTATTTCTTTCACCCCTCAGACGATCAATGCCTTGAGTTCACTCCAAAACTCGTGGAAGTTTATGACAAGTTAAAGGAGATGGGAAGGAACTTTGAAATTGTGATGGTATTCCTCGATGATCATGATGAAGAATTATTCAAGCAGAGTTTTGGGAGCATGCCTTGGCTCGCTTTGCCTTTCAGAGACGGGAGTTGGGTGAAGCTGTGTCTGTATTTTGAGGTCGAAACACTACCTGCTCTGGTTATCATTGGACCAGATGGAAAAACTCTTCATTCCAATGCTGCAGAGGACATTGAAGAACATGGGATTCAAGCATTGAAGAGTTTGACTCCAGAAATGCTCGAAGCGCCCACAGAGATTGAAGAGGCAAAACAAGAAGCAGAGACAATAGAGTCCATTTTGGTTTTAGGAAATCAAGACTTTGTGATCAGGAATGATGGATCTAAGGTAAAGATTTCCCTCAAGAGTTAGTGTTCCACTAACAAATCAAATATTATTAGCTTATTAGATCTAATATGTGTTAATGAATTAATTACTATAATATCTTTCATTTCAGGTTCAAGTGTCTGATCTTGTGGGAAAGAATATCCTCCTCTACTTCTCAGCTAATGGGAGGCCTGATCGAAATTTCGTACCAAAACTCATTCAAGCATACCACAAGATTAAGGCAAAAGATAATTCATTTGAGGTGATATTCATCTCTAGTGACAATGACCAGGCCTCATTTGATAAATTCTTTTCAAGAATGCCATGGCTGGCACTCCCCTTTGGCGATGTGAGAAGTTCGTACTTAATTAGCAAACTATGTGTCTCGGGAACCCCCATAGTTGTAGCCATTGGACCAAATGGTCAGCCAGTCACAACAAATGCTGCTGATCTAATAAGAGCTCATGGGGCGGGTGCTTATCCCTTCACAGAAGACCGTTTGAAGGACATTGAAACCGAGATTCAAGAAATGGGGAAGCTGTGGCCTAAGAAGGTGGAGCACAAGCTCCATAAGGAGCATCAGCTGGTGCTCACTCGACGTCTCTATTTTAGGTGCGACGGCTGTGGCAATGTTGGGCGTAACTGGTCATTCGTTTGTGAAGAGTGTAACTTTGACCTCCATCCACGGTGTGCTTTGGCAGAAGACAGAGGAAGCATGGTGTGCAAATTACTAAAGAATGTTCAATCTTGGATAGAATTTATTGTGTCAAAGATTAAGATGTTACTGTTTGGGGTTTGAAACTCTTGATTATTTTATCTCACCCCTTATTGTATGCTGTGTAAACTTTGAAGGAACATAATTGTCTATATCAGATTCCATATTTATTTGGTTTTTCTGGCAGTGCTAATGTTTATGTAGTCATTCTAAATCCTATACTTGTGACACTAAAAGCTGTTAAACAAACTCTAACATAGGCTACATAAAATGATTTTTTTTTTTTAAAAATTTAAATATGATTAAAGAAATCCCCTTTAAATAAATAATGAATGAAATTCTGTTAGACAGCTAGCTATAGATTGTTAAGTTTCATGACCTAGAGAGGGCACATAATCTAATCACCTAATAATGTAATTTAACAGGAAAGATTTGGTCAAATAACTACAGAACTTAGAATGAAGGAGAATTCTTTTAGATGAGAATGATAAAACACTGAGATCCAAACAAAACATACGAGGATTAAAGAATTGAGTTGGTGATGAAGAGCCCAAAAAAAAAAAAAAAAATGGGTGGTGGACAGGCTTTATTAAGTAATTTAATATTTTCTTTCAAATATGTTTTTATAGGATTATCCCTTTTCTATTACCTAACAATTTTTTTTTATTAAATGAAAATTCATATCATTTGAACTCAGAAAATGAATAAAAGTAGGGCTGTATATAACTATATATACGAACCGAGCCAAGCTGAGTTTTAGGATGCTCGGGCTCGGCTCGTTTGTTTAAAAGTTCATCTCGGGTCGGCTCAGGATCGTGACAAGCTCAAAAAACTAAGTTCAGGCTCGTTAGGGTTTTAAAAATCTTAGACTCTGCTCATTTAAGAAAACAAATTGAACTCATGTTCAAAATCGTCCAGCCTCGTTTTCAAGCTCACCAAGGTCATTTAGTAAATCCTTATATTTTTATTTTATAATTCCAGAAGATTAAACAGTTCCAATATAAAAATAGAAACAAATATAAATTACAAGCATATGCGAGCCTATTGTCACGGGCCTAGAGATTTGGCGCAGCGGCACGGCCCGTGCGGCACCAAGGCGTTGCTTCAGGTCGCGCAAGCGCCCTGGTCAGCCACCACGACCTGCCCTCCCAAGGATACATGCTGACTGGTTTCGGCCTGCCATGGCCTCGTCAGGGGAACGGCTCCAGCTCCCGACCAGTTTGTGCAGGGGTGGCCAACTCCCTTCTTCATAGTCAAGTCCAAGACTAGCGACAAGCACCTCGAACTGAACCGAGTCGACCTGCCTGAACTCTGAAGAGGTACCATCCTGTGGTCCTGCACGCCCCTTCCCTGGAACCATTCCCAGTCAATGAATGTTCTTAGCCAACCAGCATGCGTATCTTCTATGCTCATGGCGTCGTTAGGAATCGGATCGTGACACTATGCTCACGAACATAAATGAGCCTACAAGAGCCGAGCTCCACACTGTTTGGGGTAGGCTTGTTTACTAAACATGTCTAGAAATCGAGCTCAAACTTGGCTCATTTGCTTAACGAACGAGGAACCGAGTCTTAAATGAGCCGAGTCCGAATGGTTAATGAACAACTCGGTTCATTTGCAACACTATGTAAAAGATTTGCAATATATGGATCACATAATAAACTAAAAATAATTTGTGAGAGGCCAAAAAATTTCATGAATGAATGAAATTGAATTCTTATAAATAGAATTGAATTTGGCAAATACCATCTCCAACATTGAGAGAGAGAGAGAGAGAGATCTTTACAATACAATATTATAAACATGTCTAGTTCATTGGTTCAAATGAACTAAGAGGGACATAAGGCAAAGAAAAAGAGTACCACTGAGTATGGTAAGGCCAAAAGTGCCACCAACAATACCTAAAAGTTCAAAAACCTGAGACAGCTCTGCATCTCTTTTGCGCTTGTAATCATATGTAGCTGCATAGTTCCATCCATTTTGACTCCTACAACACCTCTCCAATCTCTCTTTGATCCTAACCTCCTCTATTCTCATCTTCAAAATGCTCAAATTTGCATCTATAATATTACTTGATCTCCCTGTCAAACCAAATAAACTAATCAAAACCATAAATATACTAAATGCAAACTATATATATATATATATATATATATATATATATATTGATATAAAAAAATAATAATAGAAGCTATGGTTCTTTGGGATTGTTTCCTATTCTCTCTTCTGAACTTCAAACTGAAAAAAATAGTTAAAGGTTATCAATGCAAACTACTTATATATTGATATAAAACAAATTAATTTAATTTTTTTTAGTAAAAAAAGCAGAAGCTGTGGTTGTTTGGGATTGTTTCCGATGGCCTCTTCTGAACTCCAAACTAATATATATATATATATATATATATATATAGCTAAAAGGGTATTTACCTTCATCTCTATAGCTCTGAGCTCTCACTTGGAGGGAATATTTATGAGTACTTCTGATGCTTCTGGTTGATGGTGCAATTACAGTACATAGAGAAGAGAATGAAGAAGCCATATTTCTCTATCTTCTTTCACTTTTCAACAATCTAAAGCAGCTTTATGAGGTGGGTTTTTGTTTCTAATGGTGCAAATTCTGAGTTTAGGCAAAGAGGAGTCTTCTTAACCTCTGCTTGGTTGTATTCCATATATATATATATATATATATATATATATATATATATATATATATATAATGATGTTCCTTGCATATGGTTCAACAATTCTTGTATGTACAGTTAAATGTGATTAAGAATTCATACAAATATTAAACAATTAAGTACGCGACAAGAAAGGTAGGTAATTTACAAAGATGAATCATGTATAAATTGAATATGTTCCCAAAAAAGCTGTAAATTTTTGGAAATTTCTTCGAATTAATTATAATTACAGCCAATTTGTCAGAGCTTCTCCTACGAAGCTTTGAACTGGTCTAATTATGAATTAATACATTACTTAATTATGTTTAACGCGTTGACGTGTGTGTTTGATAAAAACAAAGGAGACAGAGAATTTATATATAAAAATTTGCAGTGTTTAGAGTGACTTTTAAAACACATTTTGGATGTATCAATATAATTATTAATTGACATGAATTTTGTGTTGCGTGAGAAGATCTGAAGGTAGATTTTTTTTGAAGATATATATAATAGCTTGAAATGATCTTGAATGGTGTCTTGTCCACTGTGACATATTTTGAATTCGTTTTGGCAAAGATAATTTCGGTTATGTGAGAGTTATCCTCGTGCATGGTAATTTAATTAAGTTGTGATTTTGTAAGTGTCATTGGATGTTATGTCATGTGTGGACTATGTTACTTTATATTCTTCGGGTCAATAAGATTACAAGAGAGATCAAACAAACTCTGTCCAAACGGAGTCACCAACTTGGACATGTGGAAAATATAATATTTGTGTGTGTGTGTGTGTGTGAGAGAGAGAGAGAGAGGGAGAGAGAGAGCCAGAGAGAAAGCAAATACACATGCGACCAAATAGATAATAGTTCAGTTGGTGTAAGTTCTGCTCCTTAATAGAATGGTTTCAATAGAGGGCATAGGTGTGTTTGTAATTAACTTTCTTGAAAAAAAACAATCCACACAATATGCCTAAGTTCGAATTCTTATCCTATCTCATCTGAAAAGAAAAGATCACGAGTTAGGTCATTCTAATCTTTTAAATCTCTAGTCTCTAGGGTTGATCCTATCCGTGGCTGTGAATTAGTCGGCTCATCATTTGGGTTGATTTGGTTCGGATGAAAAATCATTTTCCATGTTTATGTACCAATATTATTATTATTATTATTATTATTATTATTATTTTATGAGTTAGGTAAACCATTCATCCACACCCTCACAATTTTGCCTCGGTAAAAAGACTGAGGGCTGCTAACCAAGGTCAACTTGTTAGCCGCCTGCCCTCTTATTAAAATATTTCCACCTTTTATTTTGTTTCTAGAAAGTTTACTTTTAAGTTGGGATGAGAAAAGCCAAAATTTCATTTACTTTCCTTTATTTAATTTAATATTTTATATATATATATATAATTTATCTAATTTTTTAATCCGAAAAATCTGTCATTAAAAGGTTTCTAGAGAAGTATTGTACAAGCCAAGCAAAGGAGAGTTCATGTTGACTGCACAATTGCCTAGTACATTTGGCACAACTTGAACATTAAAAATGATAGTAAAATTTGGAACTAAAACTTGTACATATTGGAGATATTAAATTGTGTCACATGGCTTAGTGGGGAGGGCACTAACATGATAACATTGTGTCACATCACAAATGACTCCTAATATGGATGCCACATGGCATACATGGACCATGTGATGTGGTTCTAAAATCAAAAGACACCCAAAAAAAAACAGGAGTATTTACCAAAAAAAAAAAAAAAATGAAACAGCGATAAAATAGATAATCACTATTTATTTTATTCTTTACTTTTTTTTGTCCAAAAATTCAAGCAAACTCATATACATCCACTATATATTAGTACTCCAAAAACATTGACTTTGTTTGGATACAGAAGAGAGAAAAGAAATGAAATAATAATATTAGTTACGAAATGAAGTGATAATATTTTTTTTTTGGATATGATAGAGGGAAATAAGAAAAGGAATGATAACAACCAAATTACTATCATATCCTTTTAAATAAAAGGGATATAAGTGGAAGAATAAATTTCTCTTTGTAATTGTTAAGGGCACTTTCGGAATTATGAAACTATCTCTCCTGTCGTTTCTTTTCTCTTATTTTAAACCCCGAACATATATAATCTCTATCCTTTCTTTTCTTTTCTTTCCCTAACCCTCTAAATCATCCCATCCAAAGGCACACAATCTTTCTATTGGAGGAATGACTATATCTCGACCAATGCTTTTATTCATTCCTTTCAATTTTTCTGAATTTTGAGAGAATAGTTAAAGCAGTTCAAGGATTAAACTCTCCCTCCTCCCTCTCTACTTCCCCTCTTTTCCCCTTATTTTAAAGCTAACAAGAAATAAGCTTTTCGTCCTTTTATTTTCTCTCCTCTCCAACTCCTGCATTCCAAACATAGTGTAAATAAGAAGGCATTGTTGTAATCTTTAACTGAAAAGTATCCACAATATGATCTTCTTTAACCAAAATTATATAATTAGGGGGTGGGTGGGGGGGTAAGGACATCAACTTTAAAATTTATAGTTTTACAAATGGCAAATCTAAACTAAAGATAGTAGGTGTTTTTATTTCTCTTTTAGCAAATATGGAAGCATCATCGCCAATTTTATTGAACCAACAGAAAATTGCTCATCTCTATCTAGATATATTAGCTTCAAAATTGACAGTCCTCACAAGATCAACAGCAGCCTCTCATTCATTTGCAGTTGCATCCTCTGACGAAACATTTCCTCCATCTACTCAAAGAGAACAAAACAATGAGGAAATAAGCCTAAGAAGGAACTGGATTTAACATTAGCTGTAACTACGGCAAGTCAAAAACAAATTCAAGGGAGTTATGTTCATCGTGCGTATACCTTCACCATCTGATGGTGCACAAGGAGATTTCCGGTATAGTGTCTGTTGTTGTGTTGGCTAGTCAAGAGAGCAGTAAAAACAAAGAGAGAGAAAATTGTCATAAGCAAGACACACGTAATGAATGTGTGAAATATAAGTGTTAAAATGAATACTGATTATATAACCATAAACATATTGATGTGAATCTTGTGAAGCAATCCAGATGGAGAGAGACAAAATCATGTCTTATGGAGAGGATGAAGCAGGTACAGTTAGTTTGACTTTATCCACGACAAAAAGAACTTGGTAAGATTTTCTACTGCCAAACATATTTCCAGCACGAACTGAAAGGGACCGGGCCAAACAAGTTTGAGATTGGGGTAGGGTGGGGGTATGGGAAAGGTTTCCCTATTTTAAAAAAAAAATCAATGAACTAATCACCATAAGTTAGCCTCTTTTCTGTTTTAAGATAGTGCAGAAAGTATTTAAGGACCGCTATGTTGCATCTACAATTCATAGGTCAAATCTGACATGTGATTATTGAAAGAAGTGTTGGAGATTGAATGATGGATGTGCGAGTTGTGTTGGACTCTTCAAAATTAGGTGAAGTACCGAACACACAATACTTTGACATGAGTATGAGATATGTGTTCGACACTTTAGGTTTGACATGAACCTTAAAAACCTATCCAATAGTTTAATTTTAGTATATTATTGCTTCAAAACGAGTTAAATGTCTATATTGAGAATGATGTTAAAATAATAAATAATATAATTTATCAGTGTCCCTATGTCCTATATTGGGATTTGATATGTTTAATGATTGGATACATACCCACCCGACACACATACCTAAATCCATGTTAGCATAACTTGCAAGCACAAGGAAAACTAGTTTTCACGAAACTGCAATCTTTTCATAAAATCTTCTCTTTTAATATATAAAAAGACATGCACCCAACTCGACACAAATGGGAGGATGAAAAGATACCGCCGCGGGAAATTCTAGTAAACTAGAAATGTCTCTGTAGCTTTCTTTGTCAAGAATGTCTCCGTTAGGCATGTCAGAGCATGTGGCTTACTTGTGTGATGGCACACAATTTTAAGCATCTATGTAAAATAACACTTCACAACAGCTAGATGATAAATGAGTCGCTTCCAATCCTTCCCTATAGGATTTGCAACTTCTTGCACCAGCAGTTGAAAAGTTAAAAGAAGAAAATTACAGTATGTCTAAAAAGAAATCACTTAATATTCAATTAACCATCAAGTTAGAGCAACTAATTTCTTCAGTGACATTTACAATTTACATTAACCAACACAAGAACTCTTCAACTTTACATTCTCTGACCCTCCAAAAAAATATATCTTCTGGAGTGAGATTTTTCCTTCATCTACCTTTCTCTGCTCTTAGGGCAAGAAGGATACATAAAGTTATATTTGTCAAAGTTTGTAAATTTGAATGAACCGCCAAACTTATCAGCCTTTTAAAATAGTTAGACCACAAACTTTGTCTTCTAACAGTTAATTCGGAAACATTTTCTGGATTGAGCCCCTTTCCTCTCCATAAAACCCCTGCTTGCCTTCTTACAAATTTGCCAAGCACTATCATCAACCTTGTAGCTAATATACAAGAAGATAGTTTGCATACCACATGCATATCAGATAAGCCACAATTCTTGGCCAATGACTAGACTAATCGAGTAATCAACTGAAACTAGTTAATGTCGGGTCAAATCCACACATTATGGGCTAGATTGGATACAATTATAGTTAGTTTTTCTATAAGCTCAGCCTGAAACGCTACGCAATCTACAGTATTATAACAAGAGAATGCTGTCTTGGTGCTCTCCTCTTTTTAAATTCCCGTCATAATATAACAACTAGCTGTTTATACAAAGTTTCTATATTCTTCCTTTCATTTTAAATTACGATACAAATTTTGAGTCTTCGAACAAAATTTAAATATCATTATTTCACTATATGTGGAGTCCTAAGAGGAGGGACGCAGTTAGAGAAGGTGAAGATTGTACCTCTCTCTCGCGCGCACACACATGCCCAGACTCAGTCTAATATTTAACCTTTTCTTTCACCACACAACTCATTTTCTATAATCACTTTTTAGTTACCAAAATCATAATCATCTCTCTTTATCGTCGTCCTTACATACTAATAGCAAACCAATTTCTTCGAGTATAGGAATCACGTTGCACCAAGAGTGTAACAGCCTAACACAGACTCTAATCCAAAACCAATATTAAATGTTTTCATTTTCCCTACATTTATTACTTATTTTTATTGTGTCTAGATTATGGGTTTTAGTTAGATACTTTATTGACATTACTAATCTTTATGCATCATTGTATTGATTCAGCTTTTACTGTCAAACATCCACTATGCATGGGCATCTCCAGTTCCTTGGTGTCCAGTATAATTGAATCTCAAGCCCATTGTTGGTCCGACTAACGCCACTAAGAATCCAATCAATCCGCATTGATTCTCTTTATACATGATGGATCTTCCATTTTTGCAGCATTAAGAATCAATTGCCACTTACGCCGCTAAGAATCAACATCCTGCACTGATTGTCTTTTAACACGATTGACGTGCCATTGTTCTTTTTTTTGTCACATTTAGAATCAATTGCCCCTTCACCGATGACAATTTTCTCAGGAAAGTAACAAATACTAGAATTTGCATTAGGATGAAGTTATTGAACAGATAATGTTAGTTCATCACTAAGACTTGTCGAACAAAATCCATTATGAGATCTAGCAGACAGTAATAGAAGTATGTGCAGTGTATTAAATTATTAATGCAAGTGATAACAATTCTGGCAAACAGCATAAAACATAACTAAAACATCAAATAACAAAGAAATAAATTATTAAATTCGCACCTGCAATTTAGGCCGAAGTGCTTCAAGTGGTCCTTTGGGCTTCTCCCCACCATGCTATAATCGTCCAAATGCATTGAAAGATATTAGGTAATGAACAAGATGCAGGAAGGTACTCTACTATTGGAAGTATTAAGCACAAACACAATAGTGGAGCGACAGACGAAGCAGTATAGGGGAGCTACAGACAAAGCAGTACCTTTCCCAGAGCCCAATCAGCAGAATCAAAAAATGCACGTTCATTGTCCTAACGTCAACAGTGAAAATTTGAATGGGGAAAATCACAAACTAGCATCTCTTCCATGAATTTCAATGACAAAATAACATAACTAAAATCAACTTTATATATATATTACCTTAGAAATGAGTGGTTGTTTCTTGGGTTTAATCCCACCATATTTCTTCCTAATAGCTTCCTCCTACATAAAGAAAATTAAACATTAAAGACCTGAGAAAATACTGCAACATTAAGAAGCCAAGAAATAATAAGGTTATCCAGCATTAAAAACATGAGTTTTTTTAAGGAAACTATGCATGTATAGAAAACCAGAACATGTAATCAACCTCCTCTTGAGATGATGGCATGCATTTTTCAGAGCCCTCCTGTTGGTCTTTCACATCCTCCACGTCTGACATAATAGCGAATAGCTGCAACAGCACATGACATTAATTCCCGCAAACATGTCACTCAAGGCATCATTGATTACCAATTAGTTTGATCAGCTACATTTAGGAAGAAACAAGATCTTTTTTTTTTTTTTACTTTAGAAAAGGCATTCTAATTTATGGTTCTCATCCTACCACCCTAACAGAGTGATTTGTATTTCTATTGATTAAAATAAATAAATAAATAAATAAGGATTTTGATTATCTTTGAAAACATATTTAAATGAGGGTCTACCATCCTACACTATGGCCGTACAAGTCAACTATATATACAAAAGGATATATGAATCAGCATTACACTCCACTCAAAAATACACAGGAATACCATAAAAGAAGTATTTCAAAGCTCAAAGAATTCCATTTCAATCCTCTGAAACATTTTCTTGGATTTCAGTCCTTTACACACACATATATATCCTATGTGAGCATTCTTTTCATTAGCAACCCTTTACAGCCACTTTTACTAATTTTTTTTTCTACCAATAGATTCATAATTTTGCTTAATCCCATCTGATTAGGAAAAATGCAGGAATCAGAAGAAGTAAATTTTCAGAATCTAACCCCAAGGGTTTGGCACACTGGCAAGGTCATTTGGCCCTGGTGCCTCATGACGTATAAGGTATGAGGTTCGACTCCCACTAAGTGCAAACTATTCCTTAGGGCTATGCCTCTGCGGCCATACTCTGCAACTTACCCGGCCCGGGGTGGAATGCACCCTTCCTGGGTCATTGGGGATTAGTCGGGCCGGATACCCAGGTTAATCTTTTCTTCTTCTTTTTTTCTTCTTTTTTTTTTTTATATCTTCAGTTTTGGATCATGAAAAAAATAAGAAATATCCACAACTCATCCTAATAATACAACTTAGCCTAGGCAGTGAATTTTCACAATGCAGAACAACATTCAACATAAGATTCAACAATATGTATATTAACTACATTTCCAATATTCTACACGAATAATGAGCACCATGTTCATAAAATTACTCATAATTTAGTAATAAAATTAAAATCTCGAATCAAATTAACAAATTTATAATGAAATTGCACTAGATGTCGAAAAAGCACAGCTTAAGAGAAGATTTGACAGCAAAATCATTGAAGAGGTAATTCAGAATCAACTGAAGATCTGTACCACAACTTGAATTGTTTCAAAATGATAGAGATAAGATGGTAAGAGATCTAAATAGATAAAGGACATAATTACATACACAGAGAGATAATGCTGATAGCAAAGACGATTGGAAGATTCAAACAGATAAAACCAGATGGATCACAAGGCAATGTAGAGAGAGAAACAAGAGAGAGAAAAAAAGGTTAATAGATTTACCGATAAGACAAAATCACGAGGTCACTCCGTTACCAGAGAGAGGTGGCCGAAGTCGAGATCACGAGGTGACGCCTGATTCCTCTGTAACGTGTTTTCCTGCAATCTGTATGTTTTTTTTTTTTTTTTTTTGCTTTTTTTATTCAGTTTTTGTTTTTGTTAAGTTAATTGTATTTAACGGAGTAATAATTAAAATCGAACCACGTCATTAAAATGCTCGGTCAACAATAACGTGTCACATCAGGATCCTGTATCATTTTGGTTGTGTGCCGAACATAATAGTATGTTGAATGAGTGTTACAGTATAATTTGGATTATCCTAGCTTTTTGGTAGTATAATATATTACATGAGTGTTATAATTTTGAGCAAACTAGAATGACCTTCCATAAGATTTAAACTAATTGTAACTAAATTTAAAGTTTGTTATTTTGTTATAATGTGACCCCTAAAGTTTTTTCCATTTTGCAATGACCTCCCTCAGTATAAAAAATAATATTTTTTGTTAAAAAAATAATTTAAAATAACTAAAATACCCATCAATAACGTAAATAATATAATCAAATGACAATAAAACTCATGTTAAGAGGATCAAACTACCATTAGACCAGATACTCACCATTGTCTCTCTCTAGCCCACCTTCACCACTTCACTGCCACCACCCCTTCTGCAAAATTTGTAACGTCCCAATCAAATCATGTATTTGTGGGCAATAATTTATATATATTACATTGGTTAATCAAACCATGTATTTCTTCTCTTGCACTGAGTCAGTACACGAGGAATAAATTATTTTGTATCTTTGATAACTATATATATATATTGGTTTTCTGATACCTAAGTATGGTGGTATAAAGAATCTCATCACTGATTGCACTATTACTGAAGCTGTTTGACTAATTTTTTTATTTGTTTTTCTTTTTTTTTTTTTCTTTTTTTTTTTTCATTATACCAACATAAGAATCACGAGCTTAGGGATGTCAGGGAAAAAGTCATGTTCAATGATCGCGGCATACAACCTCGTTGACGGCGGGCTTAGCGACGAGGCGAAGGACAGCGAGGTCGCTGCCGCTTCCAGCTCCACGTATACAATCATCTCTATCTCCGCCCGCAAAGCGCCGCTGTATCCCTCGTCGGAATCACCTTCTACATCGCCGTGGTTTGCGAAGCCATGTCGTAGTTTCTTATCTACCGAACTTCCTCTTACAAACCCCTCAAGTCCTCCATCAACAAAGCCTCCAAGAAGCTCGAGCCATGAAGAGACTCAAACCCACCAAAACTCACCGTTAAAATATCCAAAACGAAGAAGATCGATCGCGTCGAGACCATTCTTAAGGAATCGAATCACAATCTCTTTTTTCGAATTCAAGTCAGGGTGTTGTGGTTGCCTTAGTCCTGTTTGTCGTGTTTGAATTGTTCAATTCGTTGTTCGTATGCAAGGCTGTCGCGAAATTGCCCTTCTTGCCGGCTCGAATCGTGAATAAGAGATTAGAATTATGGACTGTTACGGCGTTTACAAGGAGGTGGAGACGGTGGTGGTGATGGGTGGTACTCAGTGATGTGTTGCGAACTTGGAAGTGGGTCTTTGGATTGGCGATGGAACCAGTTATGGTCAGTTGGGATGGAGGAGAGGGAGAGGAATAGTGAGATAAAAGGAAAAATAGAAATATTTTTATTGGGTAAATGTTGGTGGGTAAAAAGGTCATTTGTTATTTCTAGATATTTTGATTTTTTAATAATATAATAATGAGGGTAGATAAGTAAATTTACTGCAAAATCTGACATGGGGTGTCTCTGCAATACAATGGAAAACCTCAGATTTAGTTGCAATTAGTCCAAACCTCAGGGGAGGTCATTGTAGTTTGCCCTATAATTTTTAGGTAAAGTACATGGACACCTTGAAGTTTGGGGTAAAGAAAAGTAGATAAAAGTTTGGATATTTTTGGACAATCACACTCCTCTTGTTAAATTTGTCATCCAAACAGAGTCTTAAAATAAGTAAAAAGTCCATTTTACCCTTCACTATTTTATTAATTTTAATTATAAAATTTCAAAATACTTAAATAACCAAATTACCTTTATATACATATACACACACCCACACAACAGTCACCACCAACCACAGATCCACCAACCGTCAATCTATTCAGAGCAGCGCCATTGGGAGTCGATGACGGAGATTCTTTCGGAGCTAAAGAGAACGACAGAGGCCCGGCGATACCGGAGGGAGCCGAAGTAGGAGTGTCGGAGGTTAGGGGAACAGGCGGAGAAGCAATCAAAGAGGTCGAGGCAGTACTATCTGCGACGGAGAAAACGACAGCGAGGACAATGAACCGAAACACCACACCCGACCGTTCGGTCTTGAATTAGTTCAGAGGTCCTGTTATTGATCAGGCGATAGATGTTGGGCGTCGGGGTCTTGAATTGGTACCTAAAACAAAACCCAATTGATGAAATCAAAGAACAACTGGGTTGTTGAGTTTGGTGAGAGAAGGAGCAAAATTTTCAATTGATTTAGAGGTTTGATTGGGGTGGGATTAAGATTGAGATTGACATCATCAAACCTATCTTTCCAACCAACCTATACTGGTGGGATTGAGATTGAGCCGCACCTTGTCAGCTCCCTTTGCCGGAACCTTTTATGCATAATGGAGAGCATGGACTGAACCGGTAAAATACTGCCCAACGAGACGCGGACTGAATAGGTGATGGCAAGGACAACATGACAGGAAGCTTTGACAACAACAATGGCTTCATAGAGAGCATGGATTGAATATATTGGAAGTAAAGCTAGGCTGACCGGTGAGGAGCGGGCCACGATCGTCGGCAAAGCTTTCTGCCATGGAAAGTCGGAGCTCTGTAGAAGATCATGCGTAGGCGAGGAGTGGGCCACGGTCGTCGGCAGAGCTCTCTACTATGAACTCATCGAAACTCTGTACAAGAATCATGCGCTGGCAAGGAGCAGGCCACAACTGTTGGCTAGTTCTTATCGACGTGCGAAAGGACGCGCCATCCTCTCCGTTGATTATATATGTGTATATACAGAATATTGAGATATAGATACAGAATATATAGGTTAAAAATGTAATTTCAACATTCAAATTGGTCAATATAAAAGTCAAAGGTCAAAAATGTCAATTCATTACCATTGGGGTGTCTTTGGTAACTGTATCAAACTTGAGGAGGTGTATTTATCTCAAAATAGGCTAAGTTTCATTTATGTGTCCTTTTGGCAAATCTCAGGGGATGTTGTTGTACTTTCCTTTATATTTTTTATATAAATATGTTAAACTAAATTTTATTTTTTTTATTATTTTTTTAATTATAAGTATGTTAGACAAAATTCTTTTATAAATTGGATGTGTATTGTATTTTATAATACAGCTACGTTGCATTATGATATGGAATGAGTTCACAAGAACCAAGATCTTTTAAACATGAGGGAGTTTGAGTCGGTGCAATTGTTTTTTTTTTTAAAATCATATTTACTTGTAAGACATTCACTTTAAGGATATTAAAAATAGTATGCATTGGGTATTCAATATTAAAGGTGTATACGGTTCGGTTCGATACGATTTCTAGCTAAATCGAAACCGAATCGATCCCAACAATTTTTTAAAAAATTAAAATTAAAATTAAAAGCGAATTCATTAAGACATGAAACTAAATCAAACAGTGAAAGACCAATCTAGTTCAGTTCAGTTTTACTATTCTCGTTAGATAAAATTAAAGAGAAAATATGTTTACTTCTCCGAATTATATATACATATACATTATAGGAATAAATAAGAAATTAACATAATAATATAATATAATTGTAATTGTAAAGTGTAATATATATATAGACTAATTATAAGTGTAATTGTAAATTATAATTATAATATACTGTAATATATATATAATGAAATTAGTTTCAATCCCAAATGATTTTGAATTAAACCGAACCAAAATTCAACAGTTTTTCATTTTTAGAACCCAAACCGAATCGTTGAGAAACTAAAACCAATGCACCGGTTCAATTTGATTTGGGCCGATTTGATCAATTCTTTGTGCACCCCTATCCAAGATATATTCATTAAAATACAACATAATCTCATGTATAATACGCCTTGTTGTTCATTTATTTATTTTTTAGGGCAAATTGCATAATCCCCTCCCCCTATACTTTTAATCTTTGACAACAAAAAAAAAAAAAAAAAAAAAAAAAAATCATTTGAAGAAAAAAATTGACATAAAGCCCCTAACTATCAAATTTGTTACAAAATGATGTTATAATGACAAAAATGTTCCTTAATATAAATATAAGAAATATTTTCGATTTAGGTTATAATTCATTTTTTATTTTTAAAAAATTGAACTTAATTTTTTTTTTTTTTTTAAATTACACACCACTAAAGTAATGTTATAATGAAAAAAAAAATCCCTCTTAATATAAATTTTTAAAAAATTAGTTTTAGTTTAACTAATTTTCATTTTAGATTTTCTCTCACTTCTTATTTTTTAGAAAATAAATAATTAAAAAAAATTTGAAAATTGTTTCAAGATACATTCATTTTCTTATAGATTCGCCACTAAAAAATCTTCTTCTTTTTTTTTAACAACACTATTTCAAATGAATTATTTATATTAATTTTAATTTAATATTAAAGGTATCATTTTATTAAATTTATATGCAGAGTTAGTATGATTTTATGTCAACTTTTTTCTCCCAACAAAATTGGATAATGATTTATCCCATAAAGACATCGGTCAACAAAATTAACGGCTTAGATTAATCTTATGTTAGGATTTCTGTAAGATCATCAAATTAAAATAGTCCCAGAAGTATCTCGTCCATACGATCCAATCATATATGTATAAGAAATCGCTTGGCCGCCTCCTATCTCTACAGCTGAACCCTGAAAGTCTCTCTCTATTTTATCTCTCTACAGAATCTCATCTTTGCTCCATTAAAGAAGACGAAAGCTCGAGCTTTTTCGATCGGTAAAACTTCATTCGTACACCACTGATTTTTTTTTTTTTTGTTGTTTCTTTCGATTGTGTATATACTCTTCATGTGTGTGTATATATGCAATTTGATCATAAAATCGAGAACAGTAATAACGGATCATATCTATGTTACTTGATATTCAGGAAATGATTATAGAAATGATAAGTTATGTTGCTCAGTGAAATTGGTATCTGGTTGCTCTAAAAAAGCTAGTTGATGGAAATCGTTAACTTTTATCCAGGGAAAAAAAATCATTATTATTATTATTTTGACTTATCTTGTTTCTTTCTGCTATGCATGTGTAGTTGCGTGTGTGTGTGTATATATATATATATATATTTTAATATTAAGCTATCGATGAAATTTTAAATTGCCATAACTATGTGTGTGGTACTTGTGGAGAATTGGCGTCTGGAAAGCTTGTGATTGAAGTATTGAAAGATTGGAATCAATTTTAGCTGAGGCTGACTCTCAATATTTGATTTATATTTATTTGTTTGTTTGTTTTGGAAGTTCAAACAAGCAAACACACCCCCACTATATTTTGCCCGAGCTCATACCATCTATGCTAGTTACCATTGGTTATATATATATATATCATTTTTTTTTTTCATTTAGATCTTAAGTTTTTTTTTTTTTGGTTAGTAAGTGAAAATTGTATTACCAAAAAAAGTAATGGATATACAATATAATAAAAAAAAACACTCTAGGCTAAAGAAATTTCTAAAGCCAGAGAACAAAAAAACCTAGCATCATATATATAGCACTTCTCTCCAAGAGACTAGGGGAGCAAAAGAAAATTTTTACATCCCAACATTGGTTTTTGAATGTTATCTTTAACCGAATTCTTAATAGAGCCACAAGGAGGTTGAGAAGTCCTTTTTGGGGAGTATCCCAAGCTTGAGGTTGCTCCTGGAGCTCTTTTTCAATTGTCTCATGAGGAAAACCGAATGACCATCAATCCATTTTTTAGGCTTTTCCAAGCCATTACTCATTACCATCTGTCTCTATGAGAGAAGACAACTTAAAAGATGAAAGTGAGTCAAAGGAGGAGACACAACCGCTTTTCCTTTTTTCTCCTAAACTTCTTCCCATGTATCGTTGAGCTTAGGCGGTTGTGGTGCTTTCATATCCGTCACTTTCCAAACTTGCTTAGTTTGGAAGACTTTAGGATGAGAAAGACATGAATTGGTACAATTACCAAAAGCTTTGCATTTTATGCACCGTAGAGGCTTCCAAGGAGTCTCTACCCTTATGTCAAGGCTTCACCATAGTTGAGAATTGAGATCAATAGGGAAATAGTTCGGAATTTCCTTAGCGGCTTCCACTTCTATCTAGAAACAAAGGATTCCCTCGCAATGCGCATCCTAGCATATGAAAGTCTAGTCAAAGCACACACTAGCATATATAGCATATGAAAGTCTAGTTTTCAATCTAGTGTGCTCATCAAGAATCAAAGGATTCCCCACAATGCTTGCCACATAGCTTAGACCATCTTCCGTCCAAATTCCAATGCCACATAGTTCATTATTATCGGCCAATTTAAGGAATTTGGTTCACAAATTAACGTTCGGAGGTCTTCACTCTTGTCCAACATTATTGTATCCTTATTAACTTTTGGGTTTACCATGGAGTACGGATATGCTATTTGAGTTTCATGCTTCTGCCTGGATGTTTCCACACCTTTTGTGGTTTAGTGAAGTGAGTGATGCAATGGGATGCTCTGATTTACTACATTATGTTTATCTTGTTTTAATGATTAAATTCTATTATCTATGTAGTCATTATCACTGTTGAGGAAGAATCTGTGGTCTGAAAATCTGTGCTATTTGATATTTCCTTACGTGGAAGACATTTCTTTATTGATTCATCTATTCAATCTATTCTTTGTCCTCTAGATTATTTGCCTTTACTTCAATTATGTGGGTTGTTAAGTCTATAAATGTTGTGAATTAATCTGGGAATTATTCAGCATAATTAAGTGCTTAAGTTTGATATTTTTGTCACTTTGACTTTTGTTGACAATTGCATATATTGTCCTAGTTTGCAGAATGGTGTTAATGTGTTCCATATTGATTTAGTATATTATTAGTGGAATTTACTTGTTCATCTTGTGCTGGAAGGATATCATTGTGATTAATTTAATTCGTACAAGGTGGAACTTCTTGTGATGCATTGTTCATTTCACATGAAAAGAAATTGCTGATGATGTCATGTTCTGTTGTGTGGTTAGGTTCGTTGAAGAAATGCAGTTTGCGATATTATTAGATTCTGGATATCTGATTGTCTGCTCATTCTCCATCAGTGTTTATCCCACTATGGTTATAATACATTAGTAATCTTGGCATTTTTTACCTTTAAATGCTTGTAAATCCTGATTCTCACCCTTTTTTATTTAGGGAACTTGCTGGTTAATCTGCTCTCTGCGGACATCCAAGGGGAAGTGCATCAACATCGAAGTGTCTTTTATGTCCAAACAGGCCATTCTCTGTTTGGGATCGATTGGGTTGCTTGGAGAGTATTTTCCTACATCAAGAAAAAAGAACGGAACTCTGTCAGAAAGAGTTGACTGTATGCATCTCGGGTCATTTCAGAAATACACGGAGTTTTGTGGTTGCAGCTGGGCGCAACCTTCACTCACCATAGAGAATCAGTCTTTTCACATCCTAGAATCCTATATATTGAAATCCTAGCATTTTATTTCTAAGGGTTTATTGAACTGAAGCAAAGATGGCTTTACAGAACATAGGTGCCAGCAACAGTGATGATGCCTTCTACAGGTACAAGATGCCCAAGATGATTACCAAGATAGAGGGCAGAGGAAATGGCATCAAGACGAATATTGTAAACATGGTTGATATTGCAAAGGCTTTGGCAAGGCCACCTTCTTATACTACGAAGTATTTTGGTTGTGAGCTTGGAGCTCAATCTAAGTTTGACGAGAAAACTGGAGTTTCGCTTGTTAATGGGGCCCACGATACTGCCAAACTTGCTGGTCTTCTTGAGAACTTCATTAAGAAATATGTCCAGTGTTATGGCTGTGGAAACCCTGAAACCGATATCTTAATTACAAAAAATCAGATGATCCAACTCAAATGTGCCGCCTGTGGTTTTGTTTCTGATGTGGATATGAGGGACAAACTAACGACTTTCATTCTGAAGAACCCACCTGAATCAAAGAAGGGATCGAAAGAGAAAAAGGCAATGAGGAGGGCTGAGAAGGAGCGACTAAAGGAAGGTGAGGCAGCCGATATGGAGCAGAAGAAGCCAAAGAAAGAGGTGAAGAAGAAGGGTTCTTCCGTTGCAAAGGATGTGCATACAAAAGCCAGCTCTACCAAAAAGAAAGCTAGTGGCTCCGATGAGGACCGAACTTCACCAACCTTAAGCCAGGTCGATGAGAAGGAAGAGGCTGATGAGGAAGATGATGATGATGGTATTCAGTGGCATGCTGACACATCGTTGGAGGCTGCTCGGCAACGCATTCAAGAACAATTGAACGATGTGACTGCTGACATGGTTATGCTCTCCACGGATGACCCAAAGAAGTTGAAGGTAGCCAATAAAGCTATTGACAGTCTAAAAAGTGTTCCATTGCCACCTGAGGAGAATCCCAAGATCGAGAACTGGAACTCAACCCATGACAGGCTTGTGGAAGAGGTGAAAGCAAATTTGAAGAAAGGGATTACTGCAAAGCAATTTCCGTCCATTTTGGAATCGCTTTCTGGCTCTGCTCAGGAAATAATGACTGCCTTATTTGAGGCACTCTTTGATGGTGTTGAAAAAGGGTTTGCAAAGGAGGTGGCCAAGAAGAGAAGTTATCTTGCTGCTGCTGTTGCTCAAAATGAGGCATCTCAGTTACTTATTCTTAGAGCAATTGAAGCTTTCTCTACAAAGTCTACCTCAGCTGCATTGAAAGAAGTAGCTCTGGTTTTGAAAGCACTATACGATGCTGACGTGTTGGAGGAACGGTATATGGTACAATGGTATCAGGAGGGACTGGCGGGAGGCAACAAGGACTCTTTGATCTGGAAGAATGCAAGACCTTTCATTGATTGGCTCCAGAGCGCTGAGTCTGAATCCGAGGAGGAATAAAAACATTTGGTACCTCTTGAAATTCTGTGTTGTTGTTTGCCTGTGTCCTATTTCTGTCTTTGTTCGTCTAGTACTACCTCTTAAGAGCTGGTCCATTGGTCGTTGATTTAAGATATCATAATATGCCTCGAACTAGTAATTGTGTGGTAACTCTACTATTTTGCGGTATGTAGAACTACTGTTTGTATTGAATCTTTGTTGTAGTCTTTAATTTGTTGCCTTCCTGTTTTTGGTTTGCCCGAGTTGAGCATTAAATTTCCATAAAGCGTACGTGTTTATCCATGTTTGTTTGATTATTTTTTTCTTTCTCATTCCTCGCATTGTCATCTTTATGCATTATATCAAGTCCTAGTATGTTGTTGGACTATCTATTTTTAGAAATGGTGTCAAAACACAACTTGATATGTCCTAATATCTGTTGCTAGAAGGGTATTGATCTAATACTGCTTTCTCTATGTTATATCTTTGAAGTGGAGAACTTTATTCTGGAGGGTTGGAGGAGAGTGATTACTCAAGTGCCTTGACCTGAAATCTTAGTCCAGTAGACACATATGAGTACAGTTCTACGTAGGGAATTAACTGAAATAATAGCGCCTTTGGCCTTCGCAATAGACATGTCTTTTCATTAGCTACCAGTTTGACACATCTTTAGATAGATGATGTTAATTCTTGTATCATCCATCATCTGTGTCCACATCTCAGAGTAAAATTGATTGATTGGTCCTGTTTATCTCGGGGCTTTGCTCATCTTCCAGTTTGACACTGATCCTGGGCTCGGATGTTAATTTAGAGTAGATTGATTGATCAATATTGTTTTGCTAATTTTGTATCATCATCATAGCTCTGTGTCACGTCTTAGGCAGATTGATTTGGTCGTGTTCAATTTAGTGGTTAGTTTTTTTGTGCACCACCCATATTTCATCATCTACGGTTTTGACACGGATCTTTAGTTAGATGTTAATTCTTGACTAGACTGTTAATGGAACTTCTGCAACAAACTGATCAATGATCAAATGCTCTTTTGTCCAATCGATGCTTCTTCATAAGGTTATGAAATCCATCTGATCTTTTTCTGCCAAAACATGCAAGCAAAGAGAGAGAAGGTAAAAGCTTCAAGTGAAATATATGTATTTACATTTTCATGTTCTCCCAACTCCTTGTATTTTCAGATCAATCATGCTGTTTGCTAGCTTTGACCAATCTTTTTTCCCGAACATTTTATCGGCTTTTATTGAACTGTTTCTTCAAAGCAGTTACCTTTTTGTAACTCTACATTTCACTAGATTGCTTGTTAATGAGATCCAAGGACGATGCAGAGCAAAGTCAGTGTGACACCACCTGGGCCATATGAACATTTATATGATATCACGAGACTTCCTTTGGTGGTTGGTACCAAACATAAATTTGTAGACCATGGTTGTTTCCCCTCATACATGCAGTACTTGATGCCATTACTGCACGTGAATGAGATGTGGCTGAGGCTGCGACTCTGACTCGGTCAATTCATTTTCTTCATCTGATCCAGTAGCAATGGAGAAGCTATGAGGATCCTAGTGCAGAGAAAAACGAAAACCAATTAAATCCGTTGCGAAAAACAATTTTTGGTTGCAATAAATTGAGAATTTATGGGTTTTTATGCCTCATTTAGAACCAATATCAAAGAGATTGACAGTGATGTAGGTAGTAGAATGGAATAGGTTGGACAAAGTGTTGTAAGCTAAATAAGTTAAAAGGGAAAGTATATAGAACAGTCATTGGACCGGGTATTTTGATATGAATCGGAATGTTGGACGTTAAAAAAAGAAACAAGAACAATGCATCCATGTCGTCGTAGAAATGCAATAGAAACAAGAACAATGCATTCATGTCGTAGAAATGCAATTTTAACATGAATGGTAGGAAAAACTAGAAAATATGAGATTTAAAAAAAAAAAAAAAAAAAAAATTGATTAAAGGAAGAAATTAAGTGTGGTGCGTATTAGCGAGAAAAAAAGAGAAAGTAAACTTAGATGGGATCGATACGAGAGGTAAGGAAATTGATTTGTAAAAGACAAAGTGTTGACCTAATAGGAGATGCAACTTATGATAGAAAAAGAGTGGGAAAAAGAGAATTTTCATATTGTCCATCCGTTTGTATGTACGGGATAAAGGTTTAGGACCAGTAATACCATAGAGTTTGGCACTGAATTAAACTAATAAATTTGAAAATTCACTGAACCAAAGTTGAGAGATCACTGAGACTGACCTGTTGATGTCGGCGACGTTGGATACTGGTAAATATTTTAACCATGATATAGATTGGCAAAAGAATTCCGATAGTTCTTAACACCAGTAACTGCAACACCAGTAACTGCAAAAATGAATCGAATATATATCCTATAACAAACATTATGCTGAAAATGCATCATCATTTTCTATATAAAACGAAAGTAAATTAACCATCTCACCATGAACAATTTCATTGAGTATTCTCCAGCTCCATAAATAATGATTGGTAGTGTATAGCGCAACAACAGAAGAACCGTAAACTGCAAATATATAAATCACTAAAAAACAGAGGCATGATTTCCGGAAATTCTAAACACAATGCCACATATAGTATGAAAATGGAGAATTCTATGTCATGTACAAAACACTCTGATAATTTCGTTTCCAACTGAAAAATTGTTTCCATCTCAGTTACAGTAATACAGGAACTACTGTGAGGGCCTAGGTTGAGCAAGGATTTGGGATTCAAAGACATTTTTTATACCTTCCGGGATACCAGATCTCCTTTGTTTCACTGTAAGTACACTGAATTGAAGTGAGTGAAACGACACTGTTGCCAGAGCAGTTTTGATGCTTCTGCAGTCGTTTTAAGAACCTCCTTGGTCATCATAACCAAAAAACAACTCATGCTGCTTGATAACCTAATTCAATACTTAATTCTGAACGGTTTAAGTGCTTATCCAATTAATTTAGTGTTTGATAACGTATTTTGAGTACCATTGCACCCATTAAAATTTTAACACACTTAAATTCTTAGCCTATCAACCATATGCCATATAGACTTTGTGTCTTCAAAATCTAACCATATGCCATATAGAATTACTTGTATCTTCAAAATGTGTGTGTGTGTGTGTGTGAATGTGAGAGAGAGTACAATTGTAGCAACTATGCGGCAGCACATCAGGCTTCTGGAAGTGCGAACTGTATAGTCATCAAATTCATGATCCAGAAAATTGGGATCAGCCACTGTCGCTGTAAACTGAAAATTATGCAGGTCCCTTCTGGGAATCTCCAAATTTCCCCTGAGACACACACCATATGGGCATTGTTTTTTTAAACAACCAAATGACAAAAAAAAAAATGATGCTGTAATGAATTAGAAAATATCAGTTAGAAAACATGGTAAAAGAGATACCTGAAGTTCGTTGGAACACCACCATAATGGAACATAGGTGATGCGGCATACCCGGGCTTGAATTGCTGCAACCACATTCCACAATAATCAAGCTATTGACCATCAAAATACAGGGTTGATTTCATTCTATTTCCATTAAACGACTTATAGTTTACACAATTGAGGTAGCCCTCCCCCTACCTTATACCCTTTGATCTAATGTCCCTCAGACGGGACTTGATCCCTACACCTTTCAGAAGGAAGGTTTAGGAGATACCACCTAAGCTAGATAACTAGTGGTAAATACAATAGGAAAACATTAACGTAGCGTTGTCCCACTACACCGGACAAATAAAATAGTTGCAGAATCAGAAGCACATATAAGAAATCAATTGCAGACCTGGTGGCAAATTTCACAGACAGTATCACCCTTCTCATTGCACCACCTTTGGACACATCTTCGATGGGCATACTGCACAACTAATGAAAATAGTGAGGACTAGCTGGAAGAAGCAAATGAAATCACTTGGAGAAGTTAACATGAAGAAAATTAGGGAACAAAAAGAAAAGAGACAATAGTTAATGGCTTCATCCCACGAATACTTGAGTTTAACATGATCAATCACCAATGGAACACGTAATGGTACACCAGCACTGGATATAACTTCCTAACATCATTGGAGTTTTTCGTGCAAAAAAATTATCTAGTATCAAGGTAAAATATGATGGGTTCGAGGGCATGACACTTCATACACATGTTTTGATGAGGAATTTGCCAACTTCCTAACAAAATATACTGGACTGGACCTTCCACCCTCACATTTAGCTTTCACCATACATTTTTTCCACAACATGAATCTCTCCAGTTTACTCTGCTGCTGGGAATGTGTTTATTCAGATGATAAAGCACAACTGACCTTCAAGGTGCCGGAGCAAGAACAGGGGATCTCCATGTTCGAGGCTTCATCCTCATCGTGGCAAATCCTACACGCTACTAAATCCTTCGACTGAAAGCCAACCTCCACATCCATCCTATGGGAAGAAAAATCAGTCATCGGATATTCACTTGCTGAGGGCATGGGTTGCTGCAACCGGTTTTGGCCTTCAATAGCAGCTTCAAGGGTAGTTTCAGTGACCAACCGTTTAACAATAACATAAAATGATCCCCCATGCTTCAAACATAGACAATAAATTGTTATCAAAAGAATACAGGAACTTACAATCCTAATAAACCCTTCGTGAAATCTCTTGGCCTTCACTATAATTCCAGATAACAAATCCCAAGAAAATGAACCTGCATTTTATGCGTAATAATGGTTTAGATAACAAATAAAACTAAACAAATGAACACAGACGAAAGAAAAATGATATATAATCTGAACTGATTGTATATCATTGCTCCGGAAGAAAAGGCAGAATAAAACCTCTTTTGAAGTTAAGAACAGAACAGTTGGAAATTTGATTATCAAATGGAAGAAAAATAAGAACTAAAAAAAAAAAAATGCCTATTAAGGATAAACATGAAATCCGAAAAGGGAATACATTGCAATTGGACATTGTTTGAGAAAAAGCTATGAAATGCCAGGAAAAAAAAAAAAAAAAAAATTGCCATTAGTACATTGTAAACCAATAATGAGGCAAAAAGGAGTATCATGCGCCGTGAAGAATTCCAATGGAGGCAAAAGTAGCAATAATGAAAAAGTAGTCAAGCTGCAATAAAATCAATATGGGGCAATAAAGCAAGAGAAAGTTGAAGATATAAACCTGAACAATGACAAAAGAAAGGAAAAAAAGTAAAATTACCAAAACCAAATGTACGTGCAATTGAAGGTATCAGAGAAATGTGTTGAGAACAAAACAAAACCCAACAAATATAAAATAAAATGAGAAGTAAGGAAGAAAAACACCAAAGGACTTCTAACCCAATAATATAACCTCCCGTTCTCAAAGAGGAGGGGATTCCCCGGAGGCAAATGTGTGTGTGACAGTGTGAGTACTTACCTGACCCAAAAGGGAAAAAAAAAAATGAAGCAATACCCAGATCAAATGTAAAACACCAAGAGCATAAAATGTGAAGAGAAAATATATATATATATATATATATATATTGGCTAAAATCTTCCACTTACAAAAATGACAAAAGAAAATGCAAAAAAGCAGAGCTAATTTTCACAGATGAATGAAACCCAGAAAAATATGATTAAAACGAGATGATGGAAGTAAGAGTTGTGCAACAGACAAGACATAAGTATATATTTATATAGAGAGAGAGAAATCTTACAGAGGTGGGATGGGATATGTGCAAGAGAAGGAAAAACTAATCTCTTTTGCTTTATTCTTCTTGTGTTGTTGCTTCTCTCTACCTGGGGGTTTCTTCCCAATTTCTGTATTGAAACCAAGCAAAATATTACATTACTAATTCTTTAGCTCTCTCTCTCCCTATATATATATATCTATATCTACCTACAGGGGTTTCTTCATAGTTGGTGTCTGGAAACCAAGCCTGATGCCTCCATTACAAGCCAATATACATTACAAATTCATTAGCACAGAGCTCACCCGTAATCATTTATTTATCTTTCTACAATTTCTCTCTCCCCAAGCCTCATGTGGAGTAGTGGGGAAATCCCATTACACGACCGCTAATAATTACATAGATTCTTAAATTTCTTGTCACCACTCATGATAACTTCAATGTAACGCTAAACTCTCCTGATATGACTTGTATCTTTGTCCAAATATGCAAAGGTTAAAGTCAATGTGTCTTATGAAGTGGGCCCAACTCCATATGAATGGATCATATGTGTGCACGCACAAAAAAATTTAAAAAATAAAAAGTAATAAAAAATTAAAATATTGATGTGAGCTCGTGTGCGCAGAACTGGGTATGCCACCACATTTAACCATAGTTTGGCACCACCAAGAGTCCCTTCAAAGTAGATTTGTGAAAGGAACTTCTTAAATACTGCCTATCAATTATCAGTGCCTTGTGGGCGCAATGACTTCCAACATATTTTGAAATATCTTCAAACAGAATTGTATAACTTTTCAATGCGACACAAGACACAACACGACACAACAGTATTCTAGCCACAACCCCACTGAAACTGTTGAAGTATTCAGGATTGCACACGCATTTTCTCAAACCTTCCCGATACGCTGAGAAGGTGAAAAAAAACTCCAAACCTGAGGCAAGACCACGAGGAAGTAGTAGCATTACTTCAGGGGGAAAATGAAGTACTAATATCATATAAACTATAACTGAGGGATGACAGTAGTAAAAATTGAACAAAACAAGTACTTGCAGTTCTAATGAAAACTTTATACTTCCCAAAAGGAAAAGTTTCGGTTATATAAAGGGAAAAAATGAAGTGGAATTTTATATCATGTTATAGTTTACAAGAATACAGGAGGGAAAATAAACATCAAAGATACAATTAGAAGTCCAGATTCTGGTAGGAAGTAGACAAGAGTTTTGGATGAACGATGTGAATCTTGAATTGATTGAGGGTAAAAGAGGAACTGCATTAGTCGTCGTAGGAAGAGTGAGGAGCAGCAGTGCATCCAGGGTCAAAGGGATCTTCAGACCCACAGCAATGCCAGTATTGAAGAACTTTACCAGATCCAGGGGTATCCAAGGTGCCTCCGGTATATACGCTCTCAAATTTCCTCTTTGTTTCTCCTGAGAGGGTGAAGGGTAGAAAAGAGGTTAGCATCATTACGAAACCAATTTGATCTTAAGAAGTCAGGCAACAGAAAGCATATTGAACAAATCGACATCATAATATATTTCACAACGGAAAGGAAATTGAATCTTCAAAACTTGGCATATATTTCCTACAATAAGTGGATAATTTTATTGTTTGCAAAAGTATATGGTACCAAAAGACCATTGCGCATTTTATGCCAGCATATTAGGGGTTGCCGTGCTCAGAGAGAGAGAAATGTTTGGTTGATTAGCAATAAGTAATTTATAGTGGCAATAGTTACCAATCTCAACATAGCTTCTTCGTTGAACATATAAACATTTTAATGGTTATGACTAACATATATATATTTATAGGTTTCAACAAACAATTAGAGCTGATGATAATATAGACTTGATGAAAGAAGAAGAAATTTGAATTTTCTTCTGATATCCCTCTTACTTTTCTATAAGTGAGATGAAAAATAAATTCATATTACTCCTATAGGTCGTAAATAAGAATTACAATGGTACAAATTTGTGCATGATCATAACATTCTCTCTCGTCTCAGTTCTGTGAATAAAACTGTTCAAATTATGTTAGTATTGCAATCACATGCACTGCTCTAGCATTACAAAATCAGGAAAAAATTACAGTTCTCCTTTTCTTTGTTTCCCACAGCTAAAACGTAATCAAATTTATTAAGAAAAGTGACAGCATGGAATACTTCGATGAATTCGCAAAGAGAGATAATATATATATATGAGTGATAATCAACTCAAAATTTTAGATCTGTTAATGCATACTAATGACAGAGCACATGGCCTTATATTTTGCTTGTATCAGACAAGAGTAAAAAAATTCCCACTTCCCCGTTTCGTGTTACTCGTGGCAACAATCACATGGAAATCAACAAAAATGGCAGTAATGAGAACTTTGGCACACTCTGAAGAAGAAGTGAATAAGCTAACGAGAACTTTGGCACACTCTGAACAAGAAGTGAATAAGCTAACGAGAACTTTGGCACACTTTGTTGCAGTGGATGTTAAGTTTCAAACAAGTACATCACTACAAGCTTTTGTTAAGTGATAGCTCTCAATGAGAGCTATCACTTAACAAAAGATCCCAATTAGCAAATCCAATTATAACATACATATAAAAGGTTCATCTGCACTTGAATTTATCGCTACATGTTCTAGCCCTATTGAATGGGTTGGCCACATGAATTCTCTGTCTCCATTCCTATCTACAACCACCATATCACCTATTATGTTTAACATTTTTAAGTCATTTCTAACAAAACTTCCTCTTCTTCTTACTGGTGCATCCCATAAGTCTCCGGTGTATGTGCCCAAACAATCCCAGTCTACTCTCTCTTATTTTCTCCTTAATCTAAGTCTACTGCTCTCTTATTTGCTACACAGTGTAAGTATTAAACTAACAATCTTCAAATGAAAGTAACAAGAAAAATTAACATATGTTAAGACCTCTTTAAAATTATTTGATATGATTCTCATGTTCATAGTGAAGGGCTCCACTAAAGCTCCCACAGTTGAGCATTTACACATACTGTGACACACACATATATAAATACATACTTACATATAAATATATACATAATTGTGTGTGTGTGAATGTAAATATGCATAATTTAATAGGAATCAAGTCAGGATTTGCAGGGTACCTCCGAAATGAGCAGTGTGGTAACGGCAAGCCCTAGGATGATTGAGTGAAGGATCGAATTGGGTTTTACAGTTCTTGCATGTTCTGAGGGTTTGGATTGGCTTTGCTGAGCATCGAATTGAGAATTTTACGGAACCTGTTCTTACGAAATCACAACTAGGCGTTGCTCGAAAGAATTGATGAATTTGAAGAGCGTTTGATGGATTCTGATGACTGAGAGAGGAAGCAGATATAACTGGTAATGACGAATTTGTATATATTTGGGTTGCCATTTTCTGGGGTTTTGGTTTTCAGTGCAACGGAGGGTGTGGACGGGTGGATGAGAAGGCCAACGCAAGTGTGGCTCATTCGGCAAACTCAACCGGTAGTGACCATCGCCAATGCTAAATCTGGACGGGTCTTACTGCGTAAAATGCTACATTTTATCATTTATGTTTTAATGGTTGATTCTACGCAAAATGCAATTTTTTTTTTACACAATCATTATTCTTTTTTAATTACCATTCCTATTATTCTTATTTGCTTTAATAATATTAATAGATGTTAGACACATTCCAAGTCAAGTTATAAACATTAAAAATAAACTAAAATTAAACTTCATTAAAAAAAGAAGCAAAAATTTAAAATATCTAATCAAAAAAATATATATATTATCATTTTACCACTATTTGTTAATTAATTTTTTTATATAATTTTTTTTTCAAAAATTTATATTATATATATATATATTTGATTATATTATTATTAAAAATATATATATTTTTAGGACAAATCATTTCAGCCTAATCGCCCCATCTCTATTATCATTCTCAACTCAGAGACCCCCCCTCCCCCTTCGCTCTCTCTCTCTCTCTCTCTAACTGCAAACTACAAAATCTACAAGAATTAGAAGTTCAAAACACATATATTTCACTTTATCTATCTGTCAACAAGAATACAAAGTTCAAAACCTATTACCTATATCAAAACCCATATCGGCATATCATTTCAGATTGTTCAAAAAATCAAAACCCATATCTTCCAATTTCCATCGCCCGCTGTTCCAGTTCGGGTTCGCCATTTGCAAGCTTCAGCCGCTGTCTCTCAACCTCAAACTTGCCCCCCTCTCTCTCTTTGCAACTGCTAACTTGTATGTATGGGTTTTGTTTTAATTTTTTTTCTCTAAATCAACTAATCAAGGTTTGTAATTCTTGATTTTGTGTGTGTGTGTGTATATATATATATATATATATATATATATCAAGGTCTGTAATTCTTGTTTTGTAATCAAAAGTTCAAAACCCATATATTTCTGTTAGATTTGGCGCAAAATATAGAAATGGCTATTGCTATTTGTTTTGCAAGATTTGACAAAAAAAATAATAAAGGTAAATTTTGGCAGCCAATATAACAGCTCATTGGAGAGTTCAATTTTGATCCACCTATTATATTTTGAATTGGCAGCCAATATAGCAACCCCATTGGAGATGCTCCAAGGATACAAATTATAGCACCTACTTTCTAATCAACTACTCCGTACTAATTTTTGGGTATTATATTATTATTATTATTATAGTCTCTTTTTAGTATCTCTCTAATAAATAGTGATTATAAAAACTAATCGATAATTTTATAAATTTCTTGAAAATGGTCACACAAGCTTGGAGAGCTCGGCACTCTACCAACTAAATATTAGAGATTTATTTCATATCGATTTTGAATGTGAAGTGAAACTTTTGAATCCAACAACGAAATATGAAAAGTATTTCTTGATCACATATAGGGGTGCAAATTACGACACAGCTCAATAACACAATACGAGTTAAACGGGTTTGAGATTGACATAAACGGGTTTGGGTCATAAAGGGTCGATACGATTAACCCGTTTACTTAACCGTGTCGGGTTAGGATTAAGGGGTTCAACCCGTGCAACACGTTTATGACCCATTTAACTCAACATGTTATAATCTTAAATATGGCTTATGTAATATATTACATGTTTAAACTCAATTATTATGGATAGTTAAGTAATTTCAACACAAACATTGTCTATACTTTATGATTTTCTTTTTAATTTGAATATTTGGGTTAATTATGACAATTTTTTTTTAATTATTATTTAGTTTTTGATTAAATATTAAATGTCTCGTTTTGATAAACAGGTCATTAAATAGGTTAACACGTTTACCTGTTTAATAAGCAGGTTGGGTCAGTGTTGAAAATTCTTGACACGATTATTAAATGGGTTGGGTCTGAATTTACCTATTTAGTATAATATTCTTACATCGACACGACATGAGCACGACCCACTAACACGAATTGTCACCCTTAATCTCATACCACCTCAACCGTGAGTATATCACTATTTCTTAAGCCGACTGCCTCAAACGTAAACAACAAGGGCAATTTAGTCGGAATAAATTGCTACTGTGGCAACACTCTCAATTTAGAGTTGACACGTCAATATATTTGTTGAAAAAACAAAATAGGTACCATTTTACTTTTATGAAATTACTAATAAGGCAATTAATGTATTTTATTTTAAAGCAATTCAATCTTTTTCTAAATAAATGTTGATATATTTTTTTTCATCTAGAATAGTGCTCTTTTAAATATAATATATTTTTATAGTGCCATCAACAAACAAAAAGAGTTATTAATATTTTAACGTTATTATGGAGAAGGAATGAAAATGTTATTGGAAATTGTTTTTAAGATGTTAGAGAGCATTACTTTCTCAATTTAATTGTCAAAGGGTGTCTTCGTCCCTTAATGATTATACTTCGTACATAGATTAATATAATTTTTTTATTATTAAACATTTTTATTTACAAAATAAAATATGTAATAGAAATAATTTTATTCGTTGAAGACATATTAGGAGCATAAAATGTTAATATTATAATAATATTTTTTATTTTGTGTTTTCTTGTTTTGTTGAATTATTATAATATTTTTAAATTTTGATGTTATGATCATACGCATAATTAATTTAGAACAGTGATATTCACACCGAACACTTGCAGTGAATTACTTAGCCGAATAATTTTTAATTGGTTAGTATAATCCCATTTAAGTCTAATAGTTTAGAAGACATTATCCAAAAATAATGCGTTGAAATTGATACATAAAAAATTAATAAAAAATGATTCTTGAATAGTTGCAGTGAATTACTAAACTTATTCTTTTAATTGGTTAATTATGCAACAAATAAAGAAGTGGAGCTGTGATGTTTTCAATTTTCGCCATTTTTTTCCAATTTCTGGAATTTTTCGTAGATGCAAGGGTATTCTTGTCATTTCACGTTTTGCGTACCGGACACTGTAGAGTGTACCGGGTATGTCGGATGGTTGGTTGGGGCATTCCATTGAGTCAAGGACTCTTGGAAATACAAGATTGATCATTTTCACTTTTTACCATTTTTCGGGCCAGACGGTCCCGTGTGGAGCCCGCTACCGGTATTGTTGCGTGCGGGTATTTTAGTTGGATCCATTTGCATCATAAATTTTTATGATGTTGTGTTTTATATGGTTGCATAATTAAATATACATTATATGTGTATGTGGTGGGAATTAAAAAGAAAAGAAAAAGGGAAAAGTTAAATGTAAGTGGTGGGACCCACCACCACCATAATTGTGGTCTGGAGACCACATTTGGTCTCTTGTCTATCTCTCTCCCGTAAATCCTTCTCTCCCTCTCTTGTTCATCTCATTTTCTTTTTCATTTTTGCACCAAACTTTGAGTCAAGATTTCTCTCTCAATACTAAGAGTTTTTAGAAGCCGTTTGCGGCAAATCGAAGCACACGATGAGATCTTCAAATCCATACCAACAATTCCAGCTTTGGGCCTCCATAGGGAATTCAAAATTCTTAACCCATTTGAGGGTTTTGCACCAAATCAAGGTAGGGGTTCTGTAATACCCCTAATTTTTAACTCGGTAATTTGTTTAATTGTTTTCTGTTCATTAATTATTTTTGGTTCATTAATTGTTTTGAATTGTGTTTTAATTGACTTTTTAATGATTTGATTTAGTTGACTTATTTGTGTTATTTGAATTCATTGTTTTAATTATTTATTTGGCTTTATTTTTCTGTAAATTAGTTTATTTGTTTTCTTTGGGTTAATTAATTATTTGAATTATTTACAGTAATTGTGATTATTTAAGTTAATTGTTTTAATTATTTATTTGGCTTTATTTTTCTGTAAATTAGTTTATTTGTTTTCTTTGGGTTAATTAATTATTTGAATTATTTACAGTAATTGTGATTATTTAAGTTAATTGTTTTAATTATTTATTTGGCTTTATTTTTCTGTAAATTGTTTTTCTGTTTTACGGTTAACTTGGAATTTTTATTTGTTTCTTTAATTAAATTAGTAGTTAACTTGGAATTTTTATTGTTGAATTAGTAATTACATGTTTTAATTTGTGCCTAGGTATAAAAGTTTGGTTAGGGTTTCAGTTCTGTTTAGGTTTAATTTAATGAGCCGACAGGGTAAAAAAAAAAAATAGGTTGTGTTTATGGGCCGCGTTTCAGACTTTAGGTATAATTGGACTTAGGGTTTTGGTTGCCTATAAATATATACGATAAGTCTGCTTAGGGAACAAAATAATACAACCAAAACACGTCTGTGGAATTAGAAACGAGGAACAGAGGAAGTTGCAGTAGGAGTCGCCGGAGATTGTAGAAGACAACGTAGAGATTTTAACAAAAATCTCAAAAGACAAGTTCTAACCTTACTCTCTCCCTTATACTCGTGTTCTTTGCATACTCAATGGTTCCAGGATGAATTACATGTTTAAAAAAAAAAAAAAAAAAAAGACGTTGTCTGTTTCATGCTTAGAGTGTAACTGAAACTGAATTTGGTTTGAAGCTTGTAACCTGTTTAACTTTGAACTGTCTTATTTAATTTATGGTTTAATCCATATTAGTAGCATAATAAGGACTGGGTTAAGGACTGGAATCTTCTAGGATTAAGTGAAACTCTCTGTAAACCTCTACTGTGAAGTGTCGGAGGCGTAAACGGCGACCGGAGAGGAGAACACGAAGAAGAGGAGGGGGAGAGCCGGCTCCTATTGGATTGGAGCCGGCTCCCCTTGGACTGGAGGCGGCTCCAATGGTCTAGGAGCCGGCTCCAGGGCCATTGGAGGCGGCTCCAATATTCTGGAGCCGGCTCCAGGTTGTTTATGCGTGAGTTTTGATTCTGTGGGTTGTTTTTCCAAATTTTTTTTCAGTGATTAGGCTTCCTAGTGATTGTTTTAATGTGTTTATTGGTGAATGAATACTGTAATGGGTGATTTAGGAGTGATCTAGGGTAAACATAAATATGCAAAGACCAGATTAACATAAAATTTGATACAATCATTAGGATTACATGGAGTTAATTACGAAGGTCTTGTAGACTGTGTAGATTTGGAGTTTCTAATTTCTTAATTATATTA